GGCCTCGGTTCCTCCCGCCCAGCCCTGGAGAGCGACAGAGTTAAACGTTAACTCCGTGCTGGCGCTGAGGTGCCCCGTGCGTACGGTCAGCCCCAGGCTGTGTGCAGTGAAGAGCTCTGCTTTCAGGTGTGGTGACAGGCACTTCATAGAAAGCCGTTCAGAAGTAACTAAATCACTCCTTAAGATTTAAGCACTTGCTATAAAACAGGCCTTAAATTCGCCTGGTTGCACTTGCACAGCGGTGGCAGTGACGGGTTTCAGCACGTTCACTGAATGCCCTGTTCACTTTCATTATCAAAAGGAGCTCTGAGCAAGTCTCGGCTGAAATCTACACCAGTAAGTACTCTCCGGAGGATATTTAGCAGCAGTTCACTGTAGCATGTCTGTAAGTACAGACCAACTCGTTTGCACTCTGTATGTTGCTCCTTGTAACAGAATTGGAGCAATATTTCATGTTAATGAATGTAATAACCCAGCATTAGTTGGTAGGACACGAGTAATTTAATCTTGACTACAACCGGAACAAATACACAAATAGATCTACCTAAGATTTGGTTTCACCTTTTCATCTACCTCACCTGGAACGTCATCATTAACGTGGCGAACAACCAAATTATACGGTTCCTCCTCCACTGTCCCTTCATCCGATTTCTGTTCCTCCTCCAGAGCCCATTTGGGACGTTTGTTTCCCGTGGAGGAGACGGGGGAATGTTCTGCATCTAAATCCTCGGGAATGCTGTCAAAATTGGCTTCTGCCAGACACTTGTGGCACAGTCTGTAGCGTCTTGTTCCTTGCTGAACCACGCATCCCGTTAGTTCAGTTACGTGACGCTTGCATTTCCTGCAGATCAGTTTGCCAGCTTGATGTATCTAAAGAGATTTAAAATTGGAAAACGTCAGCGTTTAGCCAAAAAAAGTGTAGGGTTTTTTTTCATTTACCTTTTGCTTTTAGAAAAAGAAAATTCAATGAATCAGCGTTTTGCTTTAAATTAAATTGAAACTGGAATTTGCCAATTGAAACAACAAATAATTAAAGCTGAGGTGCAGCTCTCCTGGGATTAGTTCTGGAAACGGCTGAGCAGCCGGTAGCAACGAGACCTCGTGGGTTTTCCAGGCCGGATTCCGCGGGAGGAGCCGTACCGTTTGGAAGTGGTTCCGTAAATGCTCCAGTCGGGTGAACCTCTTCCCACACACGTCACAGGGGTACGGCCGCTCCCCTGTGTGACACCGAAGGTGCCGCTTCAGGTCCGCGCGGCGTTTCACCGTGTGCGTGCAGAACGGGCATTTGAACCGCATCCGAGGTAGGTCATCTGGGACAGAGAAACACGGAGTCATTCGTTGTGTAGCAACTTGCTTGGTTTTCAGCTTAAGTAATTCATGTTCAGCCTGGAGAAGGCTCCTGAAGGGAGCAGCTCCAGTGCCTAAAGGGGCTCCAGGAAACCTGGAGAGGGGCTTTGGACAAGGGATGGAGGGACAGGACAAGGGGAATGGCTTGAACCTGCCAGAGGGGAGATTGAGATGAGCTCTGAGGCAGAAGCTCTTCCCTGTGAGGGTGCTGAGGCGCTGGCACAGGGTGCCCAGAGAAGCTGTGGCTGCCCCATCCCTGGCAGTGTTCAAGGCCAGGTTGGACACAGGGGCTTGGAGCAACCTGCTCTAGTGGAAGGTGTCCCTGCCCGGGGCAGGGGTTGGAGCTGGAGGAGCTTTAAGGTCCCTCCAACCCAAATAATTCTACAAATCTCTGATTAATTTTCCCTTTGGTCTGTCACTAAATAGGCAACATCCCCAAATATCATACCCCAAAGCCAGTATTTCTCAAGGAGCTTATTAAACAGCCATTTCAGAGTGTTTCCTTTCTTACTCAGGGTATTCTGTAGACATACAGATGATCATAACTACACAACTATTATCTACAGTCATCAGACCCGACTCTCCCATCAGCTAATCATTCACAGCTTGGACATTCTAACCTCTACCTAAATAGTACGATGCACAGAGTCTTAAAAATATGCAATTGTAATGAAACACAGGTACATTTATTTTGGGTGTGTGCTGTCAGTCAGGCGCTTTATGTAGCGTGGCCAAACGGTTGTGAAGTGTGAGCTGGTTTGGTCTGTGAGGGAATGCAGCATCCTGCCAAGGACAGGACCCTCTCCTGTGACAGCCTGGGACTGGATTTAGGCTGAAAGCCTCCATCACTGGCAGGCGTTGGGGATCTCACAGGAGAAATTCAGGTCCCCAGGTCAGGTCAGCTACAGCTCGTGAGGCTTCATGAACCACCAGCTGTGTCCAGATAACGTGCCACACATTGCTTTCCCTTCATGGCACGCCTGGGTCAAGCTCTCTGGTTGCAATTCTCATGCCCTGCTCTGGCTCCAAAGTCTCAGGTGCTATAATCAAGGAGATAAAACAATCTGCAAGTCTAGGCATCGTTTGGGTTTTCATGCAGCCATACAAATTCTCTTCAAAAGATCATCTGAATTCTTCCAAACAAAGACAAACTTTGCAAAACTGTATTTTTTACCTTCATTCCAAGTACTCATTACTCCTAAAATCGTGGGCATTGAGGTGTATAGTTCCTCTGCCTTAAACTCCACGAGCTCGGGCGCCCTTGACAGTTCTTGTTCCAGATGAGCAACAGACCACCTCTTCGGCACTGTGTCCGAGCCATCACGATACCCATAATCATGGTCAACATCATTCTCAGCATCAAATTCAGCCTCCTCTCTCACACGGGAGAGGTGGCCGGTGTCTGAGGCGCTGCCGGTGCTGCCGGCCCGCTCGGCCTTGGTGGGTTTATACTGCGCAAAGTCACGGCCCTGGGCCAGGCCGAGGTGCCTGCGGCGCCTCCTCGCCGAGCCCGGCTTTCTGCCTCTCTTGGAGAGCTGCGTTTCCGCCCGCTGCAGGATCACCTGTGAGGACAAGCAGCTGCTGTAGCTGCTCCAGGAGTTCTCATTCGCCGCCGCAGCTTTCTCATCCGGAAGGGAGCAGGAGCGCCGGGGGTTGCTCTTTGCTTTCCTCCTCGAGCGATACAGGGAGGGACGGGCAGGGTCGTTGTTCGTGCTTTTGGCTGAAAGGCTGAGGTACCGATCCTTCTCCTTCTCGTTAATGTCCAGGGAGGACTTAATGAATGTCTTACAGACATTCAGAATATCCGTCATCTGCAGATAGCTGGCAGCAGACATGACCTCGATCACATTCTGACCAGTTAATGCCAATATGCCTGAGTACACGAAGTCCAGGATAACCATAAACGTCTCTGGGGAGAAGACCTCAAATGTGGCTACAGTCGGCTGGCTCGTCTCCTTCGAGCTCTGCGAGAGCAGCATCTTGAAATAGCCGCTGCTGGCGAAAAGCACATTGCGATGGCCTTTGAAGCCCTTCCCCTCCACTAGGATATCGCAGTCACAGAACAAGTCCTGCTTCCGCTGTTCGTTGAGCTGCTCCAAGAGGTGAAACTGATGGGAGGAAATCTCCATGCCCGCGGGGAGCCAACGGCTTGTTCTAGAGGAAAAACAAGGGGACCCGTGACAACCTAAACCAGCGGGGCTGAATGTTGTTATTAAAGAGACGGATCTATGTTTAAAACCGTGAATATCGCACTTGTTACCGATGCCCAG